TAACCTCATCACAATCGGACGTTGAATCTTGAATTTTAACAAACATTGTCCTATGCGATAAAAATCAATGAACCAGTTCAAAAATATTCCCCTAAAACCGAGATTATATAATTTGCTTTCAATGAATCTGAAATCTAGATAGTCAAACGCCCTCGATAAGTCAAAAAATATTCCTGCAACTAGTTTTCCATGATCTAATGATTCATAATCATACTCTAGTAGATTGCATGTAGCCATGTTGACACTGGGATAATAAAATAATTAAAACTTGGCCCTACCTAATGCTTACAGGTACTTTTATTAAAGGTGTATATTTCAAGAAACTAGGATTTAGAATAGCTTTGAGCTAAGAAGAATGTGAATGGTGGTTACGTTTTTAACTCACATAATCTGCACTTACTATCTACTAAGATTTTAAGTTTGCTAAGGTGTCCTAGCCTTAGAAAAGTTGCTTTTTGTTTAGATGTGAATGGAAATTTTTATAAATTTTTATAGTTCTACGGAAATTTTAATTATGATTTCTATATTAAATGAATTACTTATTCCCTAGGTGTAAATTAGTTGTGTTTATTATTGGATTATTTTACTGTAAATTAGTGTAGTTCTTCTGTATACAATGCCACTCATTTTCTTAACACTTCTTTACTGTTATTAGTTTTATATTACAATTTTTTTTATCAATGTTTCATTTAGTTAATGGATAATTCATCACATATCAACACCAGTTTTTAAGTTATTAAAACCAAACCCTTAGTAATTGCTATTTTCATAAAAATACCATCCAGACAGATGCATCGGCTTATGATTGAACAACTACAATGGGAGAGAAGCTGTTGAATAAGAAACTTTGGTCTTGACACCCTCAAAGTCAAAGAGTTCAAAAGCAGAGGCCATTAAGGAAATGAAAACTTTTGCACACTTAGTAGGGAAGTTCACGGGCTTCTATTAATTACTTGCTAGACATATTAATTAGATTTTGGTTGTTATTTTTTGTCTGAAATTAAAGTTAAGTTATTCTACAGTAACTAGCTGCATTTAAAGAGTAAAAATAATAAAAAATATGAGTAAAACATTTTATAATATTATACAGGGATTGAATTTTATTTTACTATAGTTTGGAATACTACTAATTTATTTAGAAAAGCAAAAATAATTATAGTCTATATGGATCAAAAATATAAGAACATCAATAATAGTAGAGACTTCAAAATACCCCAAATTTCAGACCAAAGATCTTAGAAACTATTGAAGGCATTTGTAAAGGCCAGTTATGCAATAATCCATTATTTTTCTATTAATTTTTCTCAGTTCTTATCAGGATATCAATCCTGTCAAACAATGACTTAATATAATGGAAAATAGAACAAAAAATACAATTTTTAGGTCTAAATACAAACATGATTACTAGAAAATCTTAATAAGAATAGATTTAAAAAAAATAGATGATAGATTTTTCAATTTTTCTTGGTATATTATATAGGTACGTACTCATAATATATAGATTTATTTTCATAATTTTTAAATTCCTTAAACCCCCACAGTTGCCAAATCTCAATAGTGAGCACCCTGTATATTTACGTACACAATGAACACTTCTTGGTAATTAAATAATTAAAACTTGGCCCTACCTAAGCTTTGCTGGACAAGCTTAAATGATTTGTAGAGTCGAAATATAATTAAACAATATATAAGTAAGTATTTATGTTTCTGACATTTTGGATATTAGAAAAGCCTTCCAAATCGGATAAGAATTGATTAATTTCCTGGCTGTTAGTCAATGTTTGTTGGGGGAAACTGTCAAATGCATCCCTGGTTTATTTATCCAACAACAGAGGACGAAAATCATATTTTTCATCGCCTTTCACATGTCAATGATATAAGGTCGCGGATCTCAGAATAAGGGTAAAATATTAAAGAGGTTTTCAAATATTCAACAAAATGATGTACTGTTGATAGATCACGTGACCAATGAATGACCGACTCCTATTTTTATTTGATGAAAATTATTCGAGAATTTTGAAATATCTAAATAACAGTTATTTATGAAACCAGTTGCGAAATGCCTTATTTTATGTAACGAGTGAATATTTGCGGGACGAGCAGAGCGAGGTCCCGCCACATGAACGAAAAATATATATCAGTTGTTAGAGAATTACAAAGTTGCCCGTCATAATTTGCTCAAATCTATCAATATATGACCTATAAACCGATAAACAAATATCATGATAAAACTCCAATCATAATAACATTTTTACTTAAAACTTCTAATTTGAAACGATTTTCTTAATTTAACCAGTTTTCGAGATTTTTCGAAATAGAAAGGATTTTTGGACTAGTTTTTGTCTTATTTTTTCATCTATTTTATAATGAAAATGATTGTAATTTAACCAGTTTTTCGAAATAATAAAAATGTTTGGGCTATTTGTTGTCTATTTTGCTTTTTCATCTATTTTTTAATAAATTTCTCTTATTTTACACCTATTTAGTGTCATTACTTAAAACTTGTAATTCAAAACAATTGTTTTCCGTAAATTAAACTGTTTTTGAGATTTTTCGAATTATAAAAGATTTTTGGACTGATTTGGTTTTTTTGGTAAAGTAAAACGAATAAACCTCCAATTTTTACCACCCCTCTACATAAAACGACAGAGAAACAAAATTATCAAATTTTAAAAGTGATTCAAATATATAAATTAAAAATAATCAACAAAATTTTCAGTATTGGTTAATTGAAATTTAAGAAAATGAATTCAGTGCTAATGGCCGGTTTCTGAAACAGTAGATGTGTGTTCGACAGTAGCGGTTTGCCCGTAAGGGCACTGGGGCAGGTGCCCTAGTATAATAAACCAAAAAAAATAAATAACTTACATATTTTATATTTTCCTAATATTCAGCGCAAACCGCGTTGGCACGACACTGGACGACCGGGCGTTGAGCGACGTTCCGAGAATTCCGAAATTAAGTGGAAGATGGGCACAACCCAAGCAGCAAAAATATGCTCAAAAGAGTTATATAAACAACTATATAACAATTTGTTACAAAAATTGTATATGTTAAAAGCATTTTATAGACGCTTACATGGCACTTATAAACACGGAAAAGGCGCAGATTTATAAAATAAATGTGATTCTTAACAGTTTTATTATGGGGTATAAAAGTAAGTATAAAACATTCTGGAGTATGTTATAAAAATTTTATATAACAATTTTTTTAAAGTTATATTATTGGAACTATCAACATACCTATAAAATAAGTTTGTTTCTGAAACTACTATTATATAATAGTTTTATGGATATTATATATTTGTTTTATAGATATTTATATTAAAATATTTAGAAACTTCTTTCAATATCGAAATATACTGGAAACCGGCCATTACTATCAATATTTCTCAATTCTCTTATCTACATATCTACCATATTCTTTATCGTTTCTTAATATTCTATATTGTTCAAAATATACTTCAAATACTCATCATATAATGTTACAATAGGTGTATCAGTAGCGCCATAATCAAATAATAAATATTTATAACCTACACACTTCTCCAAAAACACCGACGCGTTCAATCTTTTCTAACATCAACCAATCAGTTGTCACTTGTCACCCTTCCCCTATAACCCAGCAGCACTTTGAGAAATTAGAAACAACAATTCTATTTTTACTGCAAACCATCTTCAATCGTATTGCACACAAAAAGAAAGTCAACACTTTTCTACTATAAGCACTTAACGAGCTTTGAAACTATTCTGGGATCGAGACGAAAGGAAATGATTATTTTTAATTTGGTTTTGATCGTTTTTAGGTAGACGAAATTGGACACGTAATAAACAAATTTATAATATAAATCTCTAATATAGCTATTTGTAAGAAGTCAATCTTTTATTCTGGCTTTGATATTTTATTTTTAAAATTTATTTTTATTATGATCTAAAATTAGTATCTCGCGACTTCAAAAAAAAGTTGAACTAGAGTAGTAAAATATTAGACATTTTTCACAATATCAAAAGATGTTATGATACAATGGTTAATTAATAATTACAAGTACTAATTACTTTTTAGAAATGTGAAAGTAAATTGTTAATTGGAAAGAATATGTCATTACTATTTTAATTTTATTATAATATAAAAGCATTGTTTTGTTTTTATTTTTATCTGGTAGTAAATATTTCAGGAATTAATGAAGCAGCAGCCCTAAAATTTTTGTCCCAAACAAAATTATAATTTGAAGTAACTGCCACAAAAATTGACTTCTTCTGGTTTGGATTGGGATCTGGAGATAAGCGATATGTCCTCTACTGTGAACTAATGAATTAAATATACTGTCCATTTGACATTGTGTCAGGTTTTGTTTATTATTTATCAGTATTGGGATTCTCATCTTTCAATACGACACGTGTTGAGACGACTATCTCCGTTCAACAGAATGCGATTTGTATGTAATGTCTCTCTATTTGATTTGTTACGTGTTGAGTACGCGCATAAGAATCCTTGTCCATGTCTTGTCAATGTTGTTTTAAAATTTTACAAGCATTTTATTTAATAATAAGATAATTATTTAAATTTTCATCATATCTATTAAAATATTATATTATCAGTGGAAAGACACTTGCTATGTACCTCAATGCAGCTCTTAAAAAACTGACCCTTCTTTTACATTTCATATGCTTCCTAAAGTTGGTAAATGTAGGGTAATTTTATAAAATGCAAGTGGAAATTCTGAATTTGTGTATCAAAAAAAAATGCATGGTTACGAAAATTGGGAAGCCAGTATCAAAGTATTTTAAAGATGATTAATTGCCTAGAGGTAATACAGATTTATTTTTCGATTTAATATTTTTATTTTACCTTTTTGTGTTGCATATGCCTCATCTCAAATAGAAAGAAATATTAAAAAAAATCGCTGGTTTATTTAAAGAATAAATAATTTGTCTAGTTACTATCTATTCAATATTCCACAAACTTTTTTAGAAATAATAATTACGTTATTTTACTTCCAGGTACGAATAATGGAACAGAAGCTGGCGTGGTCTGTGCAAAGTGACGCCAACAGCGTTCAGATCCACCGGCTAGAAGGAGAAGTAGAAGAACAACGTCAGTTGAGGTTGCACGACGCCAAACAAGTCGAAGCGAAAGCAGCTAGAATCAAAGAGTGGGTAACAAACAAACTTAAAGAATTGGAAATCCAAAACCAAACGCTCAGGGAACAGAACATCAAATGCAATCAACAGCTCGAATTGCTGAGGAACCATCTGGCTCTGACTGAAAGGAGACGATCTGAGAGTAGTTCGCCAGAAGCAAGACAGGTTAGTTTTTGTTTTTTCTAATTTTGTTATCTAACTGTAGTATTAAGGTATAACTACTTCTTAATCAAAAAATAGCTGAGAAAGTGTAGTTTTGTATATCTGTAGAAAAATATAGTAGAAGAGTTGGTAAACATTTTTTGGCAAGCTAGAAACTTGTGCTATATTCGCTCTGTTGTAACGAGAATCTTTTACAAGTTTCTTTTGAGCATTCTTAGCATCAATGACAATCTTAGCGGTGCCAGCTGCGCCACCAGATAGCCTCTCCTATAATAACCTAACACAGAACTGTATACCTGGCTGGGGAGTAGTGAGACTAAATCAACCCTTGTATTTCCAAAGAAAGGAACTTCTAACTAAGGTGTAACAAATATTGATAGGGTTTTTCTTTTTAATACAAATTTAAATGCTTCGTGTGGGATTAATATTTTGAAATGTTCAGTTCCCTCCACCGACGAGTGTCGCGCTGAGCCAGAAACATCGACGGCATCAGTCCGTCTGCCTTTCTACCAACACCAATTTCGAACCTGTGATACCTAGCACTTTAGTAACCAGCGTGAACTTCGGCACCAGCACTTCCAGCATGGATCCATTTACCGATGAGCTTCGTGCTGCCGTAGATAACCTTAACGTCGGGAGGATACCGAGTAGCAGTGCCAGTGATCCAGACTTAGCACACGATTACGCTGAAATATATACGCCTAGTAGGGAGAAAGTAACTTGGCCTAGGGCTCCGACGCCGCCTATTCATAGGTTTCCTAGTTGGGAGGATCGAATCTATCAGGTGAGTTCATCAAAGTCATCAAATAATTTAAGTTAAAAGGCTGTTAGTTACAAATTTCGAACGGGTGATAGCGATTTTATAGTTGCTTGTGGGAAATACTTAAAAAGCCGTCAACAGCCCTTTGAATAATTAAAGTTAAAGGGGTATTAATTATATATTTTAAACGGGGTATAACTAGGATTTCCACCTTGAAAAGGACAGTCTCTTTTTCAAGCAAAATTACTTTTTGAAACTTAAAATGTCCTTTGATATCTTTGGAAGGAACTTTTTTTTTATTTAGAAACTTCGTAGAAGGATTTTTTTTTTTAGAAGTTTAGTAGAAGGATGAGAAGGACCTTTTTTGTATACCGGATCCCTATCAGCATCATAGTCCTTTAATCACTTTTCTAAAAGGTAGCAACTCTAGGTATAACGCAATTAGTTGCATGTGGAAATAGTTGAAATTGTAACTGAAAATGGTAACTCATACCATTTTCAGGTAACTGCGTTCCTAATTTAACCGATTTTTCAGGAATGTCAAGCAAAGCGGTTAGTTTTGGACCAAGTAACTGATATGTCTGTTAATAACGGACTATACCCTTAATTATCGGGGTTATGATGGACAAGTTATGTTATTTTTAACAGACACATTATTTGTAAACAGGTCGTTATTACTATATGTTTATAAAATAACAGACCTGTTAAAAATAACACAGATTGTCAATCATAACCCCCTATGTCTCTGTTTATACTTTATTTTATTCATTAATTGTTGTTTTATAGGTTGCTGCTGATGGTTTAACATTGACCGGAACGACTCCCAGTGATGTGGGTCCCGAACAAGCGGGATATCAAGACATCCCAGTTCCGGTATACGCTACAGTCAAAGGAAGGGCTAGTCAAATTAGATCAATACCTTTTACGGGAGATTCTTCCGATGACTCGAGTGATGGTGAAGGAAATAATACAACGGTAAGAATAGTTAAATTTAATTTGACGCTCCGTATGATATTAGGGATGTAGGAATTTTTAAAAAAATGTTTAAGTACTAAAAAGTACTTATTCTATATAGCAATTTTCAAAAAAATAATTTGCCAAAAATCGAGAAGAATTAAAATAAAACAAATACGTGAATTATCAATATTAAAAAATTCCTTAATAATTGTTAGATTCTAATTTCCAAATATAATTCCAATATAATTGTTTTAACTCAAGTATTAAAATTATTTCTATGTTTTTAGGCTATCGACGGTACCAATACTCATAGTAGAAGTTCTGGCGATACAACGGGTTCTAGTCCAGGCAAACGAACAGCTTCAAGTAGTAGCGGATCACCGAGTAAAAGTAAAACTAGAGGTAAAGTAGATCAAGATTTATTGTAAGGTAATAAATCAATATAAAAAAAACCATAAAAAATCTTAAAAAACCTAATAATCTTGAAAAATCTTAAAAAATTAAAAAATCAAAAAAAAATTAAATAATCTTAAAAAATCTCAAAAAATCTTAAAAAATCTTAAAAAATCTTAAAAAATCTTAAAAATCTTAAAAAATCTTAAAAAATCTTAAAAAATCTTAAAAAATCTTAAAAAATCTTAAAAAATCTTAAAAATCTTAAAAAATCTTAAAAAATCTTAAAAACTCTTAAAAAATCTTAAAAATCTTAAAAAATCTTAAAAAATCTTAAAAAAATCTTAAAAAATCTTATTATTATTATTATTATTATTTTAAAAATCAAGAGTTATCCATTATTGTTTGTCTTTTATTGACAGTTTTAAATTTATAGTATATATAAATACAAATATTTCTTTAAAAAAAACCTAAAAACCTTAAAAAAATGTTAAAGAACTTTAAAAAATCTTTAAAATCTTAAAAATTCTAAAAAAAATTATACAAAAATTTAAAAAATCTTAAAGAACCTTAAAAAATCTTTAAAAATCTTAAAAAAATCTTAAAAAATCTTAAATAACCTACTTTCATATTTTTTAATTAGGTTTTTTCCATTACTGGTTTAACCTGCAGCCAGTACTTCAACTAGTGGTCGTAGTAACACTAGTTACACAATTTTTACACCTCCTTTGTAACCATTGTAACAATCTTTTGTATCGTCTCTGTTTCTTTAGTGTTCAATGTTAACCATTAACGATTGACTAAAGGTGTTTCAGATACGTCGTTCGAGTCTGGAATGTCGGACGATTACGCAGTCCCACCGGACGCTTTAAGTTGTGATACCACCAGCCTAGAATCGTCGATGCTTCTTAGAGCTTCGTCTTATTTAGATAGTCCGAAGAGAATAGAGAGTTTAGAAAAATGCGGATCTTTAGCTAAATTAGGTAATATAATTTAATTAATAGGAAAAATAATGATTTTTCATCATGGTAACTAATTATAGATCTTTATATAAGTAAAAATTTTCCTTGGTTTTATCGGTCAAATATTTTTATTTTTATTGTTTAGCATACTACAATGTTTCGGAAAGTAAAAATTTTTTCATCTTCAGGTGCAATTAATTTTTAAAATTATAGTATAGTATAAACAGTTTAAAGTTATTTAAAATAAAAGAAAATTTACATCGATAAAACCAAGGAAAACTTTTATTTATATAAAATTCTACTACGATCAGGAAATTATCCTTATTCAAATAATTATAGATTGTTTTTATAAATATTGACTAATTCTGGTCATTATATGTTTAGGAGGTAAATTAAAAACGTGGAGGAAAAAATGGTTTGTTCTTAAAAACGGAGTGTTAACCTACTACAAAAGTCAAAACGATATTAACAGAAAACCCCAAGGACAAATACTTTTGGATGAAATTTGTAAAATTACAAGAGCCGAAGGGTCTAATACGTTCGAAATAGATACCGGGAAAAAGACGTACTATTTAACAGCAGACTCGTTGACTGCAATGGAGGAATGGGTAAGATTTTTAGATTATTTGTTCGAAGTTGTCTTAATATACTAAATTCTTGAAAATTTTTGAAAATTTTTGAATATTTTGAAAATTTTAAAATTTTTGGAATTTTTTGAAGGTTTTGATATTTTTGAAATTTTTGAAATTTTTGAAATTTTTGAAATTTTTGAAATTTTTGCAATTTTTGGAATTTTTGAAATATTTTTGAAATTTTTGAAATTTTTGAAATTTTTGAAATTTTTGAAATATTTTTGAAATTTTTGAAATTTTTGAAATTTTTAAAATTTTTGAAATTTTTGAAATATTTTTGAAATTTTTGAAATATTTTTGATATTTTTGAAATTTTTGAAATTTTTGAAATTTTTGAAATTTTTGAAATTTTTGAAATTTTTGAAATTTTTGAAATTTTTGAAATTTTGAAAATTTTGAAAATTTTGAAAATTTTGAAAATTTAAAAAAAAATTAAAATTTTTGAAACAGGGATTCCTGGTCGCTTACTTCCCATCCTGATACCAGTGGGCTTATATTTGCTGTTGCGATGGTTAAGTCCAGAATAGAGGAGTAGTTTTCCCTGTGAAATGTTGGTTTGTTTCCTCTGTTTATTAGCACAAGATCATTTGCGGCTATCCACTCGGTTACAATCTGTCCCCTTTCGTCCCTTCTATCCATACCCCACTGTGGAGACTTCGCGTTGAAATCACCCGTGAAGATGGCCCTTTCTTTTTGTACTCTGTAGCTTGTGTAGCTTGCAGTTGAAATGGAGCAATAGCCGGGACCTTGACCTTGTTTCTTAATTATGAGACTAGTATCAATTATTTTGATGGCTGTATCAATTTGTCTATCTTTAACCCAATCTCTCCTGTTCTTGATCGCGTTTACGTTCGGCTCGCTGACTGTTACTATTGATGCCCCTATCTCTCTGGCGGTAGCTAGGGCTAGATCGTGTACTAGTCGGCTTCTAAAGGTGTTGATTCATGATGGATATTTAGTGTTGTCGCCTCCGGCTTCTTCTTAATTTTGCATTTGAGACTACTGGTCTGGTGTCCTTCTTCATTACATGTCATACAGTACGAGTTATTTTAACAATCCTTGGCTTTATGTCCTTCTTTTGCACATTTTAGGCATAAGTGTTCTCTATTTGGACCCTGGCAGTCTGATATATTGTGTCCTGATTCCCAACATCTAAAACACCTTGTATCCCGTTTTTTCTCGAAGATTCTATCCTATTTTAATCTTTGTTTAGTAGGATACTAGCATGCGGTTAATTTATTATGACTCTTGCATTTTGTCGATTTCCAAATGCGAGGTTTAAGGCCTTTATTTGGAATACCCCGTGGTCGCAGGTCGCAGGCAATCTCCTTACTTATGGCTTCTCCTACTTCTGTTTCTGTGGTCGCTCCATCAAGGTCCTTAATGAGTAATATCATTGTGCGGTGTCCTTTTCTCAAAAGTTCCCATCCATATTCATTAGTAAACAATCTGAATGCTGCCGCCATAGCCTCTTTCTCCACCACAAGGAAGACCTAGCAGTAGCCCCATTGCTGCTGTGGGCGTAGTTCTAAATTATTAGACAGGCTAGTCTTTGTATCTTGTCTAATTTTCTGTTAGTGTTATGCTTTTAGTCTTGTGCCACCATATGACTGATGAGTACGTTATAACAGGTACTACAACTATAGTGTAAAGTCAGTGCATCATACTTGGCCCCTACCATCCGTCTACAGGCCCCATAGTATTCTTACAGCTTTTTCTATTATTTTTTTCTATATGGTTGCAGAAGCTAAGCTAGTCATCAAGAGTGATTCCAAGATATTTAACCTCTTTTGCCATTTTTAGATGTTGTCCCCACATCATTCCTTAAAAGTTCCTAGAAAAGACTTTCACCTTAAACTTAAATATTTCGCCATGTTTGTTGATACTTTCTTTTGAAGAAGCTTTTAATTCTGCAAAGATTGAAATGTTTGAGAGTGTTTGAGTTTTTTATTGATCGTCTCAGTGCCTTAAATTTTCTTTAATGGCTTATAAAAATCTGGAATATCTACAATACTTGTAAACTTATCCAAATAGTCTGACTCTTTTCTTCGGCTGTTAATTTTAAGTCCTCTACTTCGGCATTGCAAACGTTCTTAGTTGAAATATAAGTTAATTTTATTGATCCATATTTAATTGATGGTTGTATTATTAGTGATTTCATATTCTTGTATACTAGGTAGAAATTATGTTAGATTTTGCAGGAATTGGACATTTAATTCTGTCAAAAACTATATACTTTTAGATATATTGAGGGACTCCTTCAATTAGTGTATTATTAGATAGTGGTAGCACAAGCTTTTGAATTTTCTTCACACTAGCCCAAAACATGGTTTAATGATTCGTCTTCTCATTCACAAAATCTACATATTATGTATCTAATTAGGCCTATTGTGTATTCTCCAAGGGCACATAGGACCTACCTCTCAACTCGTCAAAAACATGCTGATTGCTGCTAGGAGGTGTCTCAGTTCATTAACAAAGTTCTACAGGTTCTCAACTCATCAACAACCTGCTGGTTTTCACTGGTTGCCCGCTTTACAGGGCAAAAAACCTACACATTGTTGCTTCCTCTGTTAGATTGATGACACTCCTGTGACTCTTGAGATTTTTTTTTGCCTGAATTTCCAATTATTTACAGTATTTATTGTTATTATTATAATAATAATTTTTAGGTTAGAATTTTACAAAACGTTCAACGACGAAACGCAACCAAATTGCTGTTAAGTAGAGACGAAAACAAACCGATTCTACAGGGAGTACTAAAAAAAGTTAAAAACGGAATTCCTAGAGAGTGCTGGTGCGTTTTAATAGGAAAAATGTTCTTGTATTTCAAAAAATCTACCGACCAAGTGAGTTTACACCAAATATTATTTGTCCTAAATATATTTCGACATATTATTATTTCTCTTTCAGACGCCGCATGGTCAAATTAATTTGAGAGATACCAAAGTTGAGGAAATCGAACATCTTTCAGATTCGGACTCGGAAGAACAAGAATCGGATCATCCTCGATTTACGGTTGGGATATTTCCGAATAATCAAGCTCCGACGTATCTGCATTTTACAGGAAAACAGGTATGAGTCTAGCTTTGACTTGTTCTAGAATTATCATACGTCATTTACTTCAGAATATATTTCAACATCTTCTGAAACATTTTTTATTATTGTGTATTTATTAGCAATGAAAACAAATATGGTTCTATAAGCTTATGCACTAGTTTGAGAGCAGTTATGTACTGGTTTGAGAGCAGTTATGTATTAGTTTGAGAGCAGTTATATACTGGTTTGAGTGCAGTTATGCTCTTATTTGTCACTATGACAAGGTCACCTGGCCAGTTTTTAGTTTTCTTGTATTTCAGGGTTTCTACCGCTGAAGATCTAGTGGACACTTCAGATTCTGATTCTGAAGAACTTTTGATAAAATAACCTTAAACTTTTCTTGAAAGAGAAATAAGTGGGGTATCAATTGAATCGCTCCATGTTAAACGGGCGTAAGTCCATCTATTAACAATTTGAGGAAACAAAAAATAACATTCATATAAATATTTTTTTGAAAGAAATGTTAGTCCAACTGAACTAACTTTCGAATCAAAAATTTTTTTTACTCAATATTTTTCTTTTTTTTTTCTCAAATTGTTAAAAATGGACTTACGCCCATTTTTTTATATTTAATTTAACGAAACGTCTTTTCATTTAGGAAAAAGATTCGTGGTTGTACCATTTGACGGTGGCTAGCGGTGGAGGACCGAACACGGGCACGCAGTACGAGCAGCTGATTCACAAGCTTATGGAAGTCGATGGAGATCCCAATTGTGTTCTGTGGAGACATCCGATATTATTACACGTGCCTTGTACAAAAGATGGTGCCGTTCCATCCTATTTTCCGTTAACTAGTTTACCTACGGAGGTGCTACAGGTAATGTACATTTTTATAGCTTTTTTATAGATTTTTATAATTTTTTATACGTTTTTATATATTTGTTTTTATAAATTTTTATATATTTTATATTTTTTTTTATATATTTTTATATATTTTTATATATTTTTATATATTTTTATATATTTTTATATATTTTTATATATTTTTATATATTTTTATATATTTTTATATATTTTTATATATTTTTATATATTTTTATATATTTTTATATATTTTTATATATTTTTATTTTTATATATTTTTATATATTTTTATTTATTTTTATATATTTTACATATTTTTATAGATTAATATAGATTCTTACAGATTCTTACAGATTCTTATAGATTCTTATAGATTCTTATAGATTCTTATAGATTCTTATAGATTCTTATTCTTATAGATTCTTATAGATTCTTATAGATTCTTATAGATTCTTATAGATTCTTATAGATTCTTATAGATTCTTATAGATTCTTATAGATTCTTATAGATTCTTATAGATTCTTATAGATTCTTATAGATTCTTATAGATTCTTATAGATTCTTATAGATTCTTATAGATTCTTATAGATTCTTATAGATTCTTATAGATTCTTATAGATTCTTATAGATTCTTATAGATTCTTATAGATTCTTATAGATTCTTATAGATTCTTATAGATTCTTATAGATTCTTATAGATTCTTATAGATTCTTATAGATTCTTATAGATTCTTATAGATTCTTATAGATTCTTATAGATTCTTATAGATTCTTATAGATTCTTATAGATTCTTATAGATTCTTATAGATTCTTATAGATTCTTATAGATTCTTATAGATTCTTATAGATTCCTATAGATTCTTATAGATTCTTATGTTTTTATTGACGATATAATGACGTTACATCTCGATGAAGGGTTTAAAAATTTTAAAATTCCAAGAATTTAAATATTCTTCTATTGGTACGAACCTGAGTCTGTAGATTTTTGTAAAACAGTAAACTGATATGGAAAAATCACTGGTAGTGTCTCGTAATCCAAACAATTTCAATTCGTCTTTGGTAAGGGTTACCACACGTCAGGAAAATTCCGGACATGTCCGGAATTTTTCAGTTTTATCCGTAAAGCTCCGGGAATTGTAAATTGTACAAAATTTTCAAGAAAATCATCAAACATTAAAATATACTTAAAATCCTGTATTAACAGTTCTTTTAGCAGTTGAAATTAACTTTTATTTTTCCATAGTTTATTTTGTATCAATCATGTTTTATTTCGCGAATTTTTAATTGAAAAACTGTTTTCGTTTTTAATTTTTGACGTTAGTTATTTTTTTAATAAAACGTTTAGTATTTATTTCATGGGTTGAAGTTTTATTAGTTTGTCCGTAATTTTATTATTTTGTCCGTAATTTTATTATTTTGTCCGGAGTTTTATTATTTATTTAAGAAATGTCTGGAATTTTTATTAGTAATGTCACGAAGTTGTATTTTTGAATATACTCAAAAAATACATTTCTTTTATAATGTATAAAAAAAACAAATAAACAAATTATAGTTGTTTAAACAAAAGTTGCTTGTGATTTTTGTTCTATATGTATATTAATTATCTTGCAGGCCGAAGCCATCAAACTGTTCAAATGCCTGCAATTATTCATGTCCGCGGCCGTGGACCAGGCGGGCATCGACTACCATGTAGTTCTAGCTCAGAACGCATTGCAACAATGCTTGGATATGCCCGAATTGCAGTCGGAATTGATTTGCGCTTTGGTGAAGCAAACCAGCAAGAGCGCGCCACTGCCGAAACTAGGAGTCCAGGTATCCACTCAAAAATTGCTAAAAAAGAGCGTAAGTGTGCTTCTTTTTTTTGGTTTTTATCGGTTTTCATTTCAATTGGAAAATTTTTAACTGTTTACTTAATTATATTAAATTAAAAAATTTCCTAGAGATAATTTCAACACTTTATAATTTTCGTAGGGGTATTTACTAATTATCAAAAAAAAATTCGTCCGCCATATTGAAATTAGAATGACATCATTTTATTTTCGTATTCTCCTCAGCAATTTCTTTCATTTGATACGCATATCATGATCGTAGACAAGAAAATTTTGTCCGTCATCTTAGGGCGTTCGCCACTTGAATTTAGTGTAAAAATACTTTAAAATACTTCAAAATGCTTTAAATACATTAAAATAAATTACTTTCGAATACTTTAAAATGTTTAAAATTACTCAAAATTATTTCAAATTACTTGAAAATACTACAAATTCTTTAAAATACTTTAATATTTTATAAAAATACTTTGCTTTCAAAATACCTAAAAATACTTTACTTTAAAAATACTTTAAAAATACTTTAAAAATACTTTACTTTAAAATACTTTTAAAATATTTTAAAAATACTTTTAAAATACTTTTAAAATACTTTTAAAATACTTTTAAAATACTTTTAAAATACTTTTAAAATACTTTTAAAATACTTTTAAAATACTTTTAAAATACTTTTAAAATACTTTTAAAATACTTTTAAAATACTTTTAAACTACTTTTAAAATACTTTTAAACTACTTTTAAAATACTTTAAAATGCTTAAAATACTTACAGTACCTAAAAATATTTATAATAATTTTAAAATACTTAAAAATACTTAAGAATACCTAATAAATACTTAAAAAATATATATAAATACTTTAAAATAAGTCAAGATACTTTTAAATGATTCATGATACTTATAAATACTAAAAAATACATAAAAATACTTCTAAATACTTTAAAATATTTATAAATACTTCAAATACTTTAAAGCACTTTCAAAATATTTTAAAATAATTTCAAAATACTTTCAGATTACTAAAACTCTTTAAAATATTCCAAATTCTTTAATATACATCAAAAATAATTTTAAAAATTCTTAAAAATACCTAAAATATTTTTAAATACTTAATAATACTTCAAAATACTTCAAAACACTTGAACATATTTCAAAATACTTTCAAGTACTTCAAAATACTTTTAAATACTTGCAAATATTTACATATACTTACAAATGCTTATAATTACTTACAAATACAAATACCTACAAATATAAATACTTACAAATACAAATACTTACAAATACAAATACTTACAGATACAAATACAATTACTTACATATACCTACGAATACTTACAAATACTTGCAAATACTTGCAAATACTTGCAAATACTTGCAAATACTTGCAAATACTTGCAAATACTTGCAAATACTTGCAAATACTTGCAAATACTTGCAAATACTTGCAAATACTTGAAAATACTTGCAAATACTTGCAAATACTTACAAATACTTGCAAATACTTACTTGCAGATACTTACTTGCAAATACTTTCAAATACTTTCAAATACTTTCAAATACTTTCAAATACTTTCAAATACTTTCAAATACTTTCAAATACTTACAAATACTTTCAGATGCTTAAAAATACCTATAAATACTTACAAATATTTATAAATACTTACTTACTTACTTACAGATACTTATAAATACTTACAAATGCCTACAAATACTTACAAATACTTATACATACTTATAAATACTTAACAATTTGATTTAAATTAGAACCTTCAGCCAGGAAACCTCTCCGACCTCGACCATTACAAATTTATTGTTAATTATATGCCCAATAGAACATTTTCATTTATTTTTCTACACAAGTGTTGAAATTTCTCAAAGAGTGAAACAAAATTTTAAAATGTTTGTGATATACTTCTTCTGAACAACAGTTAAGAATTTTTGACAATCGTAGATCTGTTTAAATGGTTAAATTGCATATCATTCACTTTCAAATCGAATTGTATTGTCATTAATAACCAAATATCAAAGTGTAATTAAAAATATTCGAGCAATTTTTCTCTTTCTGATACTGATACTTTACTTCTGGTAAATGTAGACCTTCCAGATGATAAATGAATTAATTTAAAGAAATGACAATTTTCATTTCTTTTGCGCTATATTTTGAATCATCCTGTAGATATCAAAGGTTTTTTAACACCATTTTAATGAGCACAAAACTGAGCAACTTTTATCTGGTTTAACCAATTTTTATATGTTGTCGTTGTAGAAATAGTAAAACTGTCCCTATGAAATAGTAACCCCGTATATGTAAACACAAAAATAGGAATATATAAGAAGACTAACATTTTTTTTTTTTCAATAATTCTCACTTGAATCCCTTTCTAAGCACTTTTTCGCTAATGGTCCTATCTTGTCAGTTATTGTCTTCAGCATTCCCCCCACACCATTTTATTTAAATTCCAACTAGATTCTAACCAATTTAATTTTAATTTCAACTCATCTCCGTCATTCTAGCTTCCTATTATATCCAAATCTCTTATTCCTTTTTTTTCTTATCCAGAAATTATTTAATATTTTTTAACTTCAGAACCTGTGTCAATCAATAAATTAATATTTATCTTGTTCTGACATTTTTGTAGTTCTTAAATAATATCTTATTAAGTTTCACTACTGATTCCATTTATCATTCATTCTGTAGTCCTAAATATAATAAAAGAGACCTCTTGTTAAGCAAATGATACTGATCTATGGAGTATTTGTTTTACTTGTTTATATTCCCTCATACAAAATTTTATATTCTGACTTATGTCACTAGCAAATACCTAAGTAATAACCGAATCTGATTTGATTTAGTATTTCTACTAATTTTAGTACACCTCCTCTTGCCTTACAGTCATTCCTTTATTTATAATTTTTGTTTCGAATAACATTTTTATTTTAAAAATTTAGACAAACTGATCTGTTCATTATTGTTTAAATTATTTTTTTATTAAAAATATGTTTAAAATCATATCTACATATATAAAGTATTGGAATAAGAGAAAAATTGCACGAAATTAAGGTCTTAAAAGAAAAAATTATAGTTAAAATTCTACATAGAAAATTAGATCTGCATTATATTTAGTTTTTTTACTGAACTGCTCAGTGCTTTTAGCACGATTTTAGTTAAATATATAGATCATAGTTTTAAAAAGAAAGAATGCTTTTTTTATGAGTTAAGAAAGAGTATTGTGGAAAGATATATATTTTATTAATAATAATGTTTATTTACTGAAATATATATTTAAAATACTTCAAAATATTTCAATGTTCTTCATAAGACTTCAAAAGTCTTAAAAAATTTCAAAAGACTTCAAGAGACTACAAAAGACTTCAAAATACTTGAAAAGACTTCAAAAGACTTTAAAAGACTTTAAAAGACTTCAAAAGACTTTAAAAGACTTCAAAAGACTTCAAAAGACTTCAAAAGACTTCAAAAGACTTCAAAAGACTTCAAAAGACTTCAAAAGACTTCAAAAGACTTCAAAAGACTTCAAAAGACTTCAAAAGACTTCAAAAGACTTCAAAAGACTTTAAAAGACTTGAAAGGACTTACAAATACTTGCAAATTCTTATACTTATAAAGACAAATATACTTTTAAAAAAACATTCATAGAAAAAAAAACAAGAAATATATACTTACATCGAGTACCACTTGTAATACGGACTATTAAAGTTTTTATTAACTTGATTTGACAAGAAGACGAAGAGGGTGGAAATACGTACTTTACACCCTCAGTTACTTAAACCCTTTTCCACCTTTCTATCTAATTGACATTTTGCTTTGAATTAGTCATTAAATATTTATTAAAATCGATAAAATAACTAACCATTTACTCTTTCTTAACGACTTAGCACTATATACAATGAATTATAATTTGTTGCATGTCAAAGATAGCTTATTTAAATCAGAAGAAGTATTTTCAATTTTCAATTATTCACTTTTATGCTATTTGAAAATTTCTTCATGAATAACGAAGCAATCTTGATTTGGAATAAATTTTGTTAAAAAATATTTGCATTCTCATAGCAAAATTTATATCAATTTATCAGTAATTGGAATTTTTGGAAATTCGGGAAGAAATTCTTTAAACAAAATTATAAAATAATGACAAGGTGAAATTATACTAATGAAAAATTGAAAAAATCCACGTCAATTTGAAGCAAAAACCGCATAAGTCAATAACAAAAATTAATAATTTGTTTCCTTCAACTTGGTTTTTTAGTTCGTTTATTTCTATTGATATAATATAGTTACTAAAATACTTTATTAAAAAATATATATATATATATTTTTTTTTTAAATAATATGTCCTTATTTTTGTATAAAAATATTTGTTGTCTACTAAAAATTTATCGATTTAAATGTACTTAACGGAGATTCGTGCACTGTATCGATCGCCTCTCCTTTAAGAATGAATTAAGAATTTGAGAAATTTAGTTGTTAATATAAAACTGTGAGTTCACTTCTCTTGCCTCTTTTACCAAACTTAAGAAATATCAGAACAGTATTCTACAGAAAATTTCCTTAAGGTTTTCAAATAAATAAAAAATTCCTATAAGAACGCAAATATTATTTCTTAAATGATTCTTATCCTATTTTATTACACACTTTCTTTAGCTATGCAATAATAAGCTAATCAAATCGTTTAAAAGGAATAAATATTTTATTATTAATCAATTTGTCAAATTATTTGTTTAGTTCATTATTTATTTGACATTACAACAAATTTATCACAATTACTTGCATTATCGTTTCTTGGCCATCTGCAACAAAACTCACTGTGTCTAGCATGAACAAAGAAGCTATTATAATCGTAATCAAATCATTAATAATAACTTCTAATTCACGCTAGGTTCGGTAAAGTTTAAAATCATCTGCATGCACCTATTTTCTCTATCCATTTTTCATTATACTTACTCCAAGTATATTAATTAGTATTTTCCCTGCAACTGATGAGATTGTTGGTGTTTCATTGTTTTTATTTTATTTTGTTTTATTTTCAATTATGAATACCAAAGTATAGTTTATAGAATTTTAGAATAGCTAAAAAGCCTGTGTATGTTTTTTCTCTTCTCCTTCTTTCTATATTCCTTTAAATATTTATTCATAAATGCTTTGAGCTGATTTTTTATTACAAAAATATTGTTACAAGATGCAAACTCTAATAATGATGATATATAATATGGTGTTTTAAGAATCATTATTTTTTTATAAATTCTCATTTAAAAGCTAAAAACTAATATTTTATCTTTGGTTTGTTTTTAGTTTTGTAATTTTTATCGAAATAAAAGAATGTTTCTAAATACATTCTCGAATTGACGAAATGAAAAAATGAAACAAAACTATATAAAAAATAAGTATGTCTACCTTAAAAATATTACCGTTCATCGAATATAATAATTATTTTATTGGAGTATCATCATTATATCATAAAAAATACTTCATGCACAGTTCGAACATATCACATACCTAACTTTATCACATCATAACAAATTTGTCACTATCAAACATCCACACGATCGTTAAACAGTCTTACGGTCTTTCAAAAGACTTGAAGAAACACCAATACTCTTTTCAGCAACTCCTGCTTTGCGCAACGCAAAGTCTCTTTACCTGCGAAACGAACACGCCGAGCATTAATAGCACGGTGTCTGATCAACAAATCGCCTTATCCAATATACAGGCCGCCCAAGAAGAGAAATACAAGGAGCACAAGGAATGCTATAAGGAGCACAAGGATCCCAAAGGACCTCCCATTTATACGCTGCTTCAAGGTTGGCAGCTCTTGGCTTTGGCCGTCAGTTTGTTCGTGCCCAAGAATTCGATGCTGTTGTGGTTTTTGAAGTTGCATCTACAGAGGAACGCCGAGAACAGGACCGAGTGCGGGAAGTACGCTGCTTATTGCGAGAGAGCGCTGGAAAGGACTATTTTGGCAGGTATGTTAATATATTCTTAAGTTACTATCATTTAAAATACTTATTATATATGTAACGTTATAAATAACATTTAATAATTATACTCTCCTGAGAAAAATATTTAGGCATGCCACTGGTACGAATTTCCTTACTGTTTCAACCCCATCTGTCCTTCGAAAAATCAATGATTTATGTCCTGCGCGCGATCGAACAATGCAATTTACCTTTTAAGTTATCTTACGAAATATTCTCGTTCTTTTCATGGTGTGAGTTCAAAAGATCCACTTGTTTTGTTTCGTGAATGTTTGCTTGCTGACAAAAGAGGAGAGCGGCAACAAAAATTTATTTATTATTTTAATAACACTTGATAATAAGTCGCACTCGTTTGATGCTAGACATTTAAATGAATGTTACATGAGGTGATCGCTTATATAGCTAAAGATAGTTAAACGATGCGCATAGTCAAAGCACAAACTAATATTTGTATAGAGAATTTAGATGAAAAAGTGGGTGATGGGGTTAGTGAAAATAAGGTTCCCAGACACGGCCCTTTGTTACCTCATCATACTTACCATCAAATTTCGGTAAAACAAATGTGATGATTTGAGTATGAGGCGACACAGAAATATAGATTGCTTTTATTTGGCTCAAACGTATTCGAAGATTCCGAAACAATTGATTGGGGACAATGCAAATCTAATTATTATGTTTAAACAATTCGTCTATTTTACTTATACGTTACATAATTGGGAATTATTTTACATTTAAAGGTTACATATATTTATATTTCACATTTTTAATTTATTTAACAATTCACCTTTATTTCAAAAACATTTATATTCAAACTTCTGTATATAAATTTCCACTGAACTGCTTAACAATGTCGCGCCATTTGTATAAAGCCAGTCCTGCTCGAGAAGATTCTCGGTGTTAGTCTAGAAACTCTGGAAATCCTTCCTCTATGAGTCAACCGGCGCACTTCAGATAGTCCTAACGTTGTTAACTTATAATTTTTTACTAAAAGATCTTCCACTCCCTATTACTGTATACCTACGCTTTCCAGGCCAAATTATAGGTCTTTTAGTTTTACTTTCGAGTTCTGGTGAATTATTAGTTCTTCCTGCTAAACAAATTACATCATCTTTTGGACAAGGAAACTAGTATAAGAAATAATAGTTCTTTCCCTATATATCCTTTCTAATTTCTTATGATTTGAATACTCATCTTTCTTTCCTTTCTCTTTACATATCTCAGTATGTATGCCATAATGTGTTAAGCTTCTCTCCAACTTTAAAGTATAGTAATATCTGGAAAGCAATCATTTTGTTTCTGCAAATCTACCAATACTCGTTCTTCTTTAACTATCTCAAACCCTATTTCCGAATTTTTATAAGTTTCATCTTCTTTTGGCTAATATTATTTCTTCTTGTTCAAAAAATCAGTACCATTAAACCATCCAGGGTCAATCTCGCTCTTCCAAAGCTTGATGTTTATCAGTTGGTTGTGGCCATTGTTTGATTTCTCCTTATCTACAGCCACGTCATCCTTGCTGACTATATGACCCAGGTAATTAACTTTATTTTGAAATAATTGGCACTTCTTGGGGTTTAACATCAGTTGAGTAGCTTGAAGTCTTTTAAAAACATCTTTAGATGTTCATCAAATTTTTTCCCAAGACTATAATGTCGTCTAAATATATCAGGCATGTTTTCCAGGATATCCCTGTCAATACATTTTCCATTATTCCTTCAAATGTCGCGGAGACATTACATAGTCGAAATGGTATGACATTGAAGTGCTACAATCAAGATCCGGTGGTAAAAGCTGTCTTTTCTTTATCTGTTGGTTCCATTTCCACCTAACAATATCCAGACTTCAAGTCTAAGGTAGAAAATAGTTTACTTTTGGCCAATGATTGTCATTCTTGTCTATGATCTTTAGCCTTTAGGATATATTTGCACCGGTTGTTGGATATTGATTAGGGCGCGCCCAAAGATTTAAATTTGTTAAATCTCTTAAAATTTGCTTTTTATATTCGTAAAATCTTAAATCTCTTTTTAGTTCCCTTACTTGTTATACAAACTCTTCAACTCTACGTCTATTCTTTTTACATTATATAAAACCCAAATCTATCCTTTTTTTTACTCATCAACAGGCGGTCGCGAACTGAAACCATCCAGAATGGAAGTACTCAGCATACTCTTAAAGAATCCCCAACACCACGCCCTTCCGCACTCGATGCCCGTCCATTTGCTTAACGGAACGTACCACATCACCAGCTTCGATGGTTCGACGTCCATAAAAGAATTCCAGGACTCGTTGTCGCAAGAAATCGGATGTCGAACGAGTAACGGTTTCGCCATCTTCAGCGACGATCCCATAGAGAAAGATTTGGAGCACACTCTGGATCCTAACGCTAAATTATGCGATTTGATATCCAAGTGGGAGATCGCTCTGAGGGAGAAGGGATTGGGGAAGTTTGAGAATAGCAAAGTTATACGGCTGACTTATAAAAACAGGTAAGTTTTTCTTGCTGCTCATTGTCTAACAATATTAGTAAATTGAAAGTGTTGTGAATAAGTTAGGGATAATCGGTTTGCTAAATAATTTTTAGAAAATTATCAGTCACAGGATGTGTAGTGTTAGGTAGTTGTGCTAATTCTTGAGAAGAATATTCCAGCAGTGGTAAACAATGCATATTTTTATTGAACTTTGAAAAAAAATCAGTAAAATGACAGTACAAAGTGATCTTTAAATTCCTAATACTTCTCCTTAAACTTAATTTAGTCCAAGTAAACTTCTCAGTTTCTAAAACTGTTTTTTACAAAACGACTTTGCTATAATATCTATCAGAAGGTTTTTTTTCTTTAACAAGTCCATTATCAACGTGTTAAGTTACCAAAAGCTTAGCACGTGACTTCATCAAGAAAAATCAAGAGTCAGCAATTTGTTTCTTTCAGGAACTCTATAAACTTCTTCTTTTAACAAATGGAGGATCGTTTCAGACTACAGACTTCTAGAAAGTTTACAACTGCTTTATGCTGATCCATATAGATTTCTTTCTTCAAATTATCATACAAGAAGGTTGTTTAATCAAATTGTGACATATGAAGATTCTCTTGATGATAGAAGCAAATCTTTCTTCATATTTTCTTCCTTCTTCCTGTGAGTAACTTTTTGCTACCACTGTGACGTTATAACGAACATTTCCCAGACAATCTTTCTTCATAATTTACTCCTTCTTCTTGTGAGTAACTTTTTGCTACCACTGTGACGTTATAACGAACATTTCCCAGACAATCTTTCTTAATTTTGAACATCCAAATTAGTTTTCATCCATGTGGACTATCTAGCAGTTCACAGGTTTGATATTCAAGAAGATATTCTAATTTTTCTCCATAGCTTGTTTCTGTTTTGCTGTCAAATTAGAAGAAAGAACATCTTTTATTGTGGCAGGATTTTCAGTTTTGTAGGCCTACGGGGGAAGCTAATGGACTGCTTAGACTTCAAACTCAATATTCCTCATTGTAAGATCGAGTTATTGTTCAAAATTAACTTCTGGTAATCGTAAGGAGTTGCTGGAGTACTGGTGCACATAATGTGTGAAAGATTTAATGTTGGACCCAGTGTCGGACTGGGACTTTTAGGGCCTACCGGTCAGGAGGGAGATGGGCCCAGCTTTTTACCTTTTCTGTGGTCCGATTTTCATTGAAGAGCAATAATAAAAGGTTCCTTTTACTTGTCAGGTGGGCTTGCTGTCAGATCGAAGGCCCACTGACTGAAAGAGGACTCAATGCCTGAACAAAAGTCTTTTGACAGATAGACTGATGGCCAGAGATAACAAAGATATAACCATTCATTGATAAAATATAATATTCGCGATGCCAATCAATACGCTCTATTTGAAGGTCAGCGGCGAGGAGACAAAAGATTTTAAGCAAATACCACTTTATTTTATCAAAGAATAAATGTGTAAGCGATGTGCGCTTATAATGAATAACGTAGATATCCATTCCCTGTTGCCACTTCCAACTTATCATTACTATCTTTTGGAATTTATTGAAAAAATTGTTTTTGACTTAATAATCTTCAAAAATAATCTTCCATTCTTAACAATATATTTTTGTAAACCGTGAGATCACCTTTTTTGTTTTATTTTCTGTTTTTTTCTTAATTTTTATTCTTTTTTCTTTGACAACTTAGATTTTCTTCGTACATATATTTTTTAAATTTTAGTTCAAGTTCTTGTGCTCTTTCTATTTAAGTCGAACATTCTCTGATTTAATTTGATTTATTTTTTATTCCCACTTTTTTTTTCTGTTTTTCTCTGTTTTTCTGTGTTTTTATTTGTTTATTTTTCTTTATTTTTATTCGTTTTTCTTCATTTTCTACATGTTTTTTCGTTTTTATTCGTTTTTCATGGTTTTTCTTCGATTTTCATGGTTTTTCTTCGTTTTTCATGGTTTTTCTTCGTTTTTCTTTGTTTTTATTCGTTTTTATTTTTCTTCCTAGGAGCCAATACATTTTTTTTTAATTTCAAGTTCTTGTGCTCTTTTTATTTAAGTCGGACATAGAAGTTCATCTCTAGGTATTTGTTTTTGTTAATTTTTCTTCATTTTTCTTCGTTATTTTTTCTTTTCCTTCGTTTTTCTTTGTTTTTTTTTGTTTTTCTTTGTTTTTCTTTATTTTTCTTTATTTTTCTTTGTTTTTTTGTTTTTCTTTGTTCGTCATTGTTTTTAATTGTTTTTCTTTGTTTTTCTTTGTTTTTCTTTGTTTTTCTTTGTTTTTCTTTGTTTTTCTTTGTTTTTCTTTGTTTTTCTTTGTTTTCTTTGTTTTTCTTTGTTTTTCTTTGTTTTTCTTTGTTTTTCTTTGTTTTTCTTTGTTTTTCTTTGTTTTTCTTTGTTTTTCTTTGTTTTTCTTTGTTTTTCTTTGTTTTTCTTTGTTTTTCTTTGTTTTTCTTTGTTTTTCTTTGTTTTTCTTTGTTTTTCTTTGTTTTTCTTTGTTTTTCTTTGTTTTTCTTTGTTTTTCTTTGTTTTTCTTTGATTTTCTTTGTTTTTCTTTGATTTTCTTTGTTTTTCTTTGTTTTTCTTTGTTTTTCTTTGTTTTTCTTTGTTTTTCTTTGTTTTTCTTTGTTTTTCTTTGTTTTTCTTTGTTTTTCTTTGTTTTTGTTCGTATTTCCTCGATATTCTTTGTTTTTCATCCTTTTTCATGGTTTTTCTTCGTTTTTCATGAATTTTCTTCCTTTTTCCTTTGTTTTTCTTCGTTTTTTTTCCTAGGAGCCAATATATTTTTTTTTAATTTCAAGTTCTTGTGCTCTTTCTATTTAAGTCGTAAATAGAAGTTCATCTCTAGGTATTTGTTTTTGTTCATTTTTTGTATTTCCTCGTTTTTCTTTGTTTTTCATGGTTTTTCTTCATTTTTCTTTTTTTTTTTCTTTGTTTTTCTTTGTTTGTCTTAATTATTCTTTGTTTTTCTTAATTTTTCTTCGTTTTTCTTAATTTTTCTTCGTTTTTCTTCATTTTTCTTCATTTCTTTTCGTTTTTTTGTTCATTCTGACTTCTAGTTTATTTTCCTGATGTAAAACTTGATTGTTGGGCCAGGAGATTTTCTCCTACTTCCATTATTTTCATATTATTTGTTCAATTATTATCCTGAATCAGTCAATGTCGTCATGGTCTAGAGACTAAAGATGTCTGCGTTCACCTTTGGGAAGGTCTTAATAGTTTGTTGGTGGATTTTTGAGATGTGTTCCCGAATTTTCAAATTATTGCCACTTATTTTAAATATGTTCAGCATAATGGGAGCTTTTTAAAATAAGCTCTGAAAATTAGTTTGTCCCCAAAATCAAAGAACAAGAAGAAATTTTATTCATTTTGGATAATATTCAAAACAATTTTGGAATATATATCATTTGCGTTTTAGATTGTGGTGGAAAAACAGCGCAAAACTGGAAACCGAAAAAGAACGACTTCTACACTGCTACCAAATCAACAAACAAATCGTAAACGGACGTTTTCCAGTAACCAGAGAAGCAGCATTAGAATTCGCATCCCTAATGGCTCAAATGGACATGGGCGACTGCTCTCTAACCAACAAAAGCGCGACCAGTACTCTCACTAATCAAAGTACCTCCAATTTACACAGAAGTCCCAAATCTACAGGAAACGGTACATTAAGTCCACCTGCTTCCATCCAGAACTCGAGTACGCTGAGCGCTTTGAATAACGTTCACGGGATTTTGACCGCTCACTCTAACCAAGCGTTGAGCGCCATCGACAAGTTTTATCCGTACAGATACAGGGACCAATTGAGCCAGGAACAGTTGGCCGAACTGCAAGCTAAGTTGATGGCAAAATGGAGAGCTTTGAAGGGGAAGACTCAAGCGGATTGCGTCAGGGCGTATTTGAATTCGACCAGGAAATGGCCTTATTTTGGAGCAACTCTGTTCCAGGTTAGTAATATTATTATTTCTAATAGAATTTTGTTTGAGAAAGTTTTGAGAAAAAATCTGAAAATTGTGATTGAGAATATCTCCATAAATATCAATTTTATGAAAAAATTAAAAGAGACCTTTTTTGTAGAGAATTTTATTTCCTACAAAATTGCTATCAATGATTTTTTCTCGAATCCGTCTACTTTAAGAGATATTTTGAAAAAACTACGATTTTATGAAAAAAATTAAATTCAATCGGCTTGAGGTACGTGTTCTTGTTGTTCCAAAAAAGAATTTCCTTGTATTTTTTCATTAAAAGTAGCCGAATCTGAGAAAAAATTTGAAAATTTTGATTTTACGAAATTATTGAGTTTATTATTAAAAATATCTCCATAGATATGAACTTTATGAAAAAATCAAAAGAGACCTTTTTTGTAGAGATTTTATTTCCTACAAAATTGCTTTCAATGATTTTTTCTCAAATCCGTCTACTTTAAGAGATATTTCAAAAAAACTACGATTTTATGAAAAAATAAACATTAATCGGCTTGCGGTACGTGTTCTTGTTCTGTATTTTTTTAAATAAAGGTTTTTTATTTATTTTTTAACGACGTGCAATGAAAATGATTGTTTACTTTAAAACAGTAAAAGATACGAGAAAAATGCAAGAAACATAATTTGCTTAAAATTAATTTTTATTTAAATAATATAAAAATATTCAATACTACACAGACCCGCATTATTTATTTTTGCGAAATTATGGTATTCGTTACCAGGATCTCCGCTACTGAACTAATCGAAAAGTTTAAAATATGGACGTCAAGTAAAAATACTAAAAACCTTTATTGTGTGTACCGAATATCATTGGAAAATCGTTTGCCACCATGTAGCACACAAAACAACACATACAAAATAACGCACATAAAGTAACGCACACAAAACAACGCAGACAAAACAATGTACACAAAGCAACGCTCGCAAAACCGTACACAAAACAACGCACATAAAACAAGGCGTTGTGCCTTGCGTTGTGCATACAAAACAAGGCACAACGCACACAAAACAAGGCACAGCGCACACAACAACGCACAGCGCACACAACAACGCACACAAAACAACGCACAACACATAAAAACAACGGGCGCAAAACCGTATACAAAACAACGCACATAAATTAACGCATATAAAAGAAGACACCATGCACACAAAACAAGGCACAGCGCACACAAAACAATGCACAACGCATACAAAACAACGTGCGCAAAACCGCACACAAAAGGAGGCACAACGCACACAAGACAAGGCACAACGCACACAAAACAAAGCACAACGCACACAAAACAACGCATACAAAACAACGCACACAAAACAAGGCACAACGCACACAAAACAACGCACAACGCATACAAAACAACGCACACAAAACAAGGCACAACGCACACAAAAGAAGGCACAACGCGCACAAGACAAGACACAACGCACACAAAACAAGACAGAACGGACACAAAACAAGGTACAACGCACATAAAACAACGCACAACGCATACAAAACAACGCGCGCAAAACCGCACATGAAACAACGATCGCAAAAGAAGGCACAACGCACACAAGACAAGACACAACGCACATAAAACAAAGCACAACGTACAGAAAACAAGGCACATCGCACACAAAACAATGCACTACGCATACAAAACGACGCGCGCAAAATCGCACATAAAACAACGTACACAAAAGAAGGCACAACGTGCACATGATAAGGCACAATGCACACAAAACAAAACACAACGCACATAAAACAACGCATTCAAAACAACACACACAAAACAACGCACACAAAACAAGGCACAATGCACACAAAACAATGCACAACGTACACAAAACAATGCACCCATTGCTATTAATAACGTACTTGAGATTACTGACAGCTTAATAACATCTGTCTATCGGTGTCGAATTTAAATAACGTCATTTTTTAAAATAAAATGTAAAAACATTTGATACAGTGGAGGTTGATAAATATTCTAGTACAAACATGTGATATTTGCTATTATTGTCGCCTGAAAAATCAATTTTTTCACTGTCTGAAGTTTATTTTCACAACCAAACAATAATTAGACATTCCAAACAAAATGGCTGACCGTTTGAAATGACAGGCCATTGACAGCATATGACATGTTATAATATGGCAACGCTGTGAGCCTGGTGGTTTGATAGGATCAATGCTATAGACAGTTATATAGATTGATCATCCACGGTTTTAAAAATAAACCTTAGCTTATGCCTCGAAGTAAAAATGTAAGCAATTATTTTTTTTTAATATCCAAAGGCCGAAAATCTGTATTTTTCCTAAACCGATTCAAATTAATAAATATTTGCTAGGCAATATGGCCGCTCGCTAATGACCAGCTTTAAGCAATCTATATAATTATATATGTATCATTGACCCTGTTAATGACAATAAGGTTGCCATATATAAGTCTCCACCACAGAACTGAAATTAGGAGAATGGATTTGACAGTCTACAAAAACGTTCCTACAAGTGGAATAAAATTGAGGTTTTTTGAGTTTGCACAGCACTTGCCAAACAAGGTTATAATTTAAAAAAATTATATAACAATGTTTTCAGAAAAAAATTAATGGCGGGTTGTACAAATATGCGGTTAATCGTCCCAAAAATTGTTTTTAAATGAATAAAATTAACTTTTATTTTCAAATCACTTTCACAAATGACAATTGACATGTCTGGCAGATACTCACTGCGCAAACTCAAACCTCAATTTTGAATCTCCTTAACGGAACGTAAATTTTGAGCCAGAATTGACATCAAATCCATTCTCCTAATTTCAGTTCTGTGGTCTCCACAGGTAGCCATTTGGACAGGTCGTTAGAATGCCTAATTATTAATAATTTAATACTCACATTATATTTTTATTTTAATTTTTCAGGCAAGACTAAGACAACAAGAATCCCCGATGATTTGGCTAGCAGTTAACGAAGACGCCATAACAGTCTTAGATCTAGCAACAATGCAACAGCGCGTGAGATACCCTTACACGAACGTCCTAACCTTCGGAGGCTGTCAAGAAGATTTCATGTTAGTCGTAACTCAGAACGACCAACAACCATCCCAGAAACTGATATTTTCTCTAAGCAAACCCAAAATACTCGAACTAACATTATTAATCGCAGATTATATGAATTTATTAATTAATAATCCAGGTACGCCGCTGCTAGGGACTCTCAGCAGAGGAACCATGGTGTCCGTAAACCAATCAGTAGTAAACCAATCCATTATAAGCCAGACGATAGCCAATCAAAGTCAGCCGGATATATTGAAATCGACGCCTGATCATGGCGTGCAACGTTCCGACTCGAAACGTCGGACTCACGTGGATTCGGGCTTGGCGTGATACCGTAAAGATTGCGCTAGTTGCGAACGAGTGAAAATATACTGACTTTTTTTTTTAATTGTGATTTTATAGATCTTTTTTGTTTTTGCCAGGAAAGCATTTGAATTTTGTATATAAAGTGAGACAGATATTATTTATGAACGATTGTAAATAAAGTTTGTTATATGTATAATTTTGCGTTTTATTTCTGCTATATCAAGATGAATAGTTTTTTATTAGTAACTATACAAGTTGTCCGATGTTGAGGGGTAGAAAAAATGACACTTCCTTTAAAATATGGTATCAAATTGTGAATATTACTAAAAAAAAGTTACTGTAAATGAAAAAAAATTAATAATGATGTCAAACTGTAAGAAAATTTCAATTAATTTTAGCTTTGTCAAGTGTTAAATCCCAGACAGCACAAGTCGATCCATTGATGGACATACCGGCTGTCCAAACGATGCCTAGCATTTTACTGAAGGACATCTAATGGACTATACAAGTGTCCCACTCTTAGATGTCCATTTGGACTCTTCCTGCATTGCTTTTGGACAATTTATGGACATCACTACCTACATTAATATTATTGCAACTACAAACATATTTTTATTATCATAATATCAAGTATGTATTGGTTTTATACACACTCCTTTCTGTTGACCTTCCTACCACCACTTTTTCAAGACTATTTTGCTTACTTTTTAAGCAGCAGCTAAAAAAAGATACTAGTTCAAGGACAACTTACCCAAGTCCGACTCAGGTAAGTTCTGTTTACTTTAGGTCCTTATTTATAAACAGAAGGTAAGTCGTCCTTGAACTAAAATCGAATTTCGGTTACAACGTCTCTACAGTTCCAGGTGGTTCTGGTGTTAAACTAGAATTTGGAGATGGATATTAGCAAATCTATAACTGTTATGTACATTCACAGATTTGTTACTACCCATCTCTAAATTCACGCGATATAACCGAACTTCGATTTTCGTTCAAGGACGACCCAAGTCCAACTCAGCCATACTCAGCTGAGTTTTGTTTATAAATACGGTCAATACGGATCTCACTAATCACTGATGATGAAAATTGAGGTACATATAGAAGAAAGCACGAGCAATTAAGGGGTGAACTCAGTTGCTCCCTAGCTGTAAGGGTTAATTTTTTTTTCTTAATTCCTCAGTTAATAATGATCCTATTATTCCATAAATTCACATAAAGGAAGAGCCGGATGGATAGTTTAAAATGCTTTTCGCCGATTGCTTCTATCTTGAGCCGTTTAGTAGTTATTCACATTTAAAAATAAGTCAAATACCTTGTCGCGTTTCTGCTATCCTGATACCAAAATTTTGTAGACAAAATTGGATCTTTTCGAATTCGGAACTTTGTATCAGGATAATAGAAACGCGAGGAGATATTTAAATTTTTTATTTTTGCCACAACTTTTTTAATATTGCTGTTAGGAAAAAAAGGAGTGTATTTTTGAGATCTACATGTGATCCTCTATCCGTACGCAAATTTAAAGAGTATTTTATTTTTTCAAAAAAATCGAAAGGGTATAGCCTTCCAAATTTTTTGACAAAAATTTTTTTTGTCTCTGATCTTGATGAAAATTGGGGTACATATAAAGAAAAGCACGGGCAATTAAGGGGTGAACTCAGTTGCTCCCTAGCTGTAAGGGTTAATTTTTTTTTCTTAATTCCTCAGTTAATAATGATCGAATTATTCCATAAATTCACATGAAGGTAGAGCCGGATGGATAGTTTAAAATGCTTTTCGCCGATTGCCTCTATCTTGAGCCATTTAGTAGTTATTCACATTTAAAAATAAGTCAAATACCTTGTCGCGTTTCTGCTATCCTGATACCAAAATTTTGTAGACAAAATTGGATCTTTTCGAATTCGGAACTTTGTATCAGGATAATAGAAACGCGAGGAGATATTTAAATTTTTTATTTTTGCCACAACTTTTTTAATATTGCGGTTAGGAAAAAAAGGAGTGTATTTTTGAGATCTACATGTGATCCTCTATCCGTACGCAAATTTAAAGAGTATTTTATTTTTTCAAAAAAATCGAAAGGGTATAGCCTTCCAAATTTTTTGACAAAAATTTTTTTTGTCTCTGATCTTGATGAAAATTGGGGTACATATAAAGGAAAGCACGGGCAATTAAGGGGTGAACTCAGTTGCTCCCTAGCTGTAAGGGTTAATTTTTTTTCTTAATTCCTCAGTTAATAATGATCGAATTATTCCATAAATTCACATGAAGGTAGAGCCGGATGGATAGTTTAAAATGCTTTTCGCCGATTGCTTCTATCTTGAGCCGTTTAGTAGTTATTCACATTTAAAAATAAGTCAAATACCTTGTCGCGTTTCTGCTATCCTGATACCAAAATTTTGTAGACAAAATTGGATCTTTTCGAATTCGGAACTTTGTATCAGGATAATAGAAACGCGAGGAGATATTTAAATTTTTAATTTTTGCCACAACTTTTTTAATATTGCTGTTAGGAAAAAAAGGAGTGTATTTTTGAGATCTACATGTGATCCTCTATCCGTACGCAAATTTAAAGAGTATTTTATTTTTTCAAAAAAATCGAAAGGGTATAGCCTTCCAAATTTTTTGACAAAAATTTTTTTTGTCTCTGATCTTGATGAAAATTGGGGTACATATAAAGGAAAGCACGGGCAATTAAGGGGTGAACTCAGTTGCTCCCTAGCTGTAAGGGTTAATTTTTTTTCTTAATTCCTCAGTTAATAATGATCGAATTATTCCATAAATTCACATGAAGGTAGAGCCGGATGGATAGTTTAAAATGCTTTTCGCCGATTGCTTCTATCTTGAGCCGTTTAGTAGTTATTCACATTTAAAAATAAGTCAAATACCTTGTCGCGTTTCTGCTATCCTGATACCAAAATTTTGTAGACAAAATTGGATCTTTTCGAATTCGGAACTTTGTATCAGGATAATAGAAACGCGAGGAGATATTTAAATTTTTTATTTTTGCCACAACTTTTTTAATATTGCTGTTAGGAAAAAAAGGAGTGTATTTTTGAGATCTACATGTGATCCTCTAGCCGTACGCAAATTTAAACAGTATTTTATTTTTTCAAAAAAATCGAAAGGGTATAGCCTTCCAAATTTTTTGACAAAAATTTTTTTTGTCTCTGATCTTGATGAAAATTGGGGTACATATAAAGGAAAGCACGGGCAATTAAGGGGTGAACTCAGTTGCTCCCTAGCTGTAAGGGTTAATTTTTTTTTCTTAATTCCTCAGTTAATAATGATCGAATTATTCCATAAATTCACATGAAGGTAGAGCCGGATGGATAGTTTAAAATGCTTTTCGCCGATTGCCTCTATCTTGAGCCATTTAGTAGTTATTCACATTTAAAAATAAGTCAAATACCTTGTCGCGTTTCTGCTATCCTGATACCAAAATTTTGTAGACAAAATTGGATCTTTTCGAATTCGGAACTTTGTATCAGGATAATAGAAACGCGAGGAGATATTTAAATTTTTTATTTTTGCCACAACTTTTTTAATATTGCGGTTAGGAAAAAAAGGAGTGTATTTTTGAGATCTACATGTGATCCTCTATCCGTACGCAAATTTAAAGAGTATTTTATTTTTTCAAAAAAATCGAAAGGGTATAGCCTTCCAAATTTTTTGACAAAAATTTTTTTTGTCTCTGATCTTGATGAAAATTGGGGTACATATAAAGGAAAGCACGGGCAATTAAGGGGTGAACTCAGTTGCTCCCTAGCTGTAAGGGTTAATTTTTTTTTCTTAATTCCTCAGTTAATAATGATCGAATTATTCCATAAATTCACATGAAGGTAGAGCCGGATGGATAGTTTAAAATGCTTTTCGCCGATTGCTTCTATCTTGAGCCGTTTAGTAGTTATTCACATTTAAAAATAAGTCAAATACCTTGTCGCGTTTCTGCTATCCTGATACCAAAATTTTGTAGACAAAATTGGATCTTTTCGAATTCGGAACTTTGTATCAGGATAATAGAAACGCGAGGAGATATTTAAATTTTTTATTTTTGCCACAACTTTTTTAATATTGCTGTTAGGAAAAAAAGGAGTGTATTTTTGAGATCTACATGTGATCCTCTATCCGTACGCAAATTTAAAGAGTATTTTATTTTTTCAAAAAAATCGAAAGGGTATAGCCTTCCAAATTTTTTGACAAAAATTTTTTTTGTCTCTGATCTTGATGAAAATTGGGGTACATATAAAGAAAAGCACGGGCAATTAAGGGGTGAACTCAGTTGCTCCCTAGCTGTAAGGGTTAATTTTTTTTTCTTAATTCCTCAGTTAATAATGATCGAATTATTCCATAAATTCACATGAAGGTAGAGCCGGATGGATAGTTTAAAATGCTTTTCGCCGATTGCCTCTATCTTGAGCCATTTAGTAGTTATTCACATTTAAAAATAAGTCAAATACCTTGTCGCGTTTCTGCTATCCTGATACCAAAATTTTGTAGACAAAATTGGATCTTTTCGAATTCGGAACTTTGTATCAGGATAATAGAAACGCGAGGAGATATTTAAATTTTTTATTTTTGCCACAACTTTTTTAATATTGCGGTTAGGAAAAAAAGGAGTGTATTTTTGAGATCTACATGTGATCCTCTATCCGTACGCAAATTTAAAGAGTATTTTATTTTTTCAAAAAAATCGAAAGGGTATAGCCTTCCAAATTTTTTGACAAAAATTTTTTTTGTCTCTGATCTTGATGAAAATTGGGGTACATATAAAGGAAAGCACGGGCAATTAAGGGGTGAACTCAGTTGCTCCCTAGCTGTAAGGGTTAATTTTTTTTCTTAATTCCTCAGTTAATAATGATCGAATTATTCCATAAATTCACATGAAGGTAGAGCCGGATGGATAGTTTAAAATGCTTTTCGCCGATTGCTTCTATCTTGAGCCGTTTAGTAGTTATTCACATTTAAAAATAAGTCAAATACCTTGTCGCGTTTCTGCTATCCTGATACCAAAATTTTGTAGACAAAATTGGATCTTTTCGAATTCGGAACTTTGTATCAGGATAATAGAAACGCGAGGAGATATTTAAATTTTTAATTTTTGCCACAACTTTTTTAATATTGCTGTTAGGAAAAAAAGGAGTGTATTTTTGAGATCTACATGTGATCCTCTATCCGTACGCAAATTTAAAGAGTATTTTATTT